TGGTGGCACCGGAACAGAATGGACGAACCGTTGGCCAATTTTTTTCACTCCTGCGAAAGAGAAGACAGCCTTTTTTATTCATCTGGAGAGTTGAATCGGACGTTTTTTTCGAATGTCCAATTTTTTGTAATTCCGCAACCCTCAGATTCCTTTTCCAGTCTCTCCCCAAACATTTCGCCGACCACTCTGACCACCGTTCCCGGCCGTTCCCGGCCCCTTTCAATGTTCCAACTCGAGACATGATAGATCAGCTTCTGCATTGCCGCCGTAATCACCCGAGATGCAACCCTTTCAGGAAGACAAACCAATCTGAAAGCATTGTCTGCCTTCGCTCGGAAATCAATGGCTTGGTGCAGAAAATTAACACTATCAGTAGCAGTACCACCTTTATTGGAACCCTGATCATGTGGGGAAAGCATAATTCCCAAAGGTCGACGGTCCACAATTTGCATCCATGAGGATGCAGATTCAGTATTGCCTTCGGAGAAAACCAACCAAGCACCGTCACTGAAGGGTTTTGCCAGCAACAATGCAGCTTGTAGATATGCAGGAGGACACATCGTCCTTGTAGTTTCAGACTTAATGGTCGCCCAATGTGCTGGAGCATATCTTGGAACGTTCATTTTGAATGGTGAATATGATCCATCCGCTGCTTGCAAGGCACCCAGAGAAGCCAAGGTAGCTGCCCAAGGATTCATTTGTGGTGCAAAACCGGCGGGACCTGCTGCCGAGTCCGCAGTTGGAAAGCCATGGGCTGTTGTAGCAGCAGTAGTCGCCGCAGGAGTAGTTGGCGACACTGCTGGAAATGAAAACCCACCATGCCCTCCAGTCAGAAACGGAGACTGCGGGACCTGCTGTTGGACGCCTGTAAGATGGGACGATTGTTGTGCTGGAGTGCCAGTGAACTGGTGCAACAAATTAGTTGCTTGTAGGCCAGACAACCACCCAAACGCATTCTGCATTGGCAATGGTCCTTGGACCGTATTCTGAGGTGACGGGGTCACTGTAGGTACACCGGCGGTTGGTACAATGCCAGCGGTAGCTGGAGACACTCCCTGTTGTGGAGCAGGTAAAGGCTCCTGTTGAGGTGCAGTAGGTCTTGGAGCTGCATTTGCAAGTGGATTTGCAAAAAATGCCTGAAAATCCTCAGTTCCCTCTGCACTTGGTAGCTGCAAACGACTGGGAACAAAAGTATCATTATCTTTCATCGAAATGGACCTCGGCTCATACTGGGTGTATGGGTCGGGTAGTTCAATTTATTTATCCAAGGAAAGTAATGGATCCAATGTTGGGATGGGCCATCCACCTTCTGGGGGAAAAAGTGAGGTCAGAAATGGCAACCGCTCTGGCGCCCTGATTCCCAATTCCTCATCCGGATGACATTGTGCCGCGTGTCTGATCCACGCCGCCAGCTGATAACGTTCGTTTCGCGTCTTCCACACTTTGTAAATAGCCCAGTATCCAACAGTAGCAAAGAGAGAAACGTATGCTGCTGCAACATGAACGTGGCAGCAGCATCCTCATCCAACAGACCAACGCCGTCTGGATGTGCCGCCGATGGCCGAGCCTCCCATAAAGGTAACGCAGATGCTGCCATCACTTGTAAGGGAATCGCGTTTTCGTTGACCTGCTGGAACCACTCCTCCTCGAAATGAGGTCGCTGCTTCTCAATAAATGCCAACAATCCATCATGAACCACCATTCCATTTCCAGTGCTCAAGGATGCAACGAATTCTTCCAAGGTAGTGGTAGTCGGCCAGAACAATCCCACAGCAGGACAACTTCCGTCTGGCAAGAACAGAAGCTTGGACAAGTTTCCAATCAACATGACTGGCAGCAGATGCTCCGCCAATTCGTCGCAAGTTGCCGGTACTGGGCCTGCTCTTGTCATTGGGTTCATCGACATCACCACAGAATGAGTGGACGACGAGACATCACCCGACAAGTATTGCCGGACCAACGCTTCATCAAAGACTTGATTCCAAATCGGAGCCCCATGAGTTGCTAAATCCGCCCCATTGACGCGAGTGCCAATTGGATTGGAACCGACTGCAATTACTGGTGTTTTTCCTGGTGTCGAAAACACACCCAATACCGCAACAACCCGCCGTTTTTTCCAGAAGATGTAACTTGTCCACTTCGGAGAGGGTGGATGCATTCCAATCGGCGAACTTCTCGGACATAGCCTCTGCTTGATCGGCATCCGACATGATGCGATGCTTGGCAAAGACATTGAATGGCGCCGCGTCCTTCACAGGAAAACCAACAGAGCTTCGGAGATCCATGACAGATGGAATGGTTCCATCCAAAAGTTGTTGATGCAGAGTTTTGTCCTTAAAAGGAAAACTCATCGGACCAAAAAAGGCTGCTCCTCGAGGCCCATTCGTGTCAAATGCTCGTTGAAGTTGCAATGCCGACATAATCGCAAAGTAATGATTTGAAATGCGGAACAAACGGTAAAGTAATGACTACAAGCTCGGAGACTGAAATGAAGAAAAATGAATTGATATTGATAATAGAGGTATCAAAATCAAACCACTGTAATGTAATGTAATGTAAAGAAAAATGAATTGATATTGATAATAGAGGTATCAAAATCAAACCACTGTAATAAACTGAGCTGTCCTTGCCTCTCTATCGTAGGAGGGCCTATTGGCAAAGGCCGTACGGCCTTCAACCGTATGCCGACTGTAGTCAATGGGATCGAACTTTTGCTACGGTCTACGTTTGATTTTAAGTTATTTTTTCAAGGGACTAACGAAGTCGCGAAATTCGCAGACTCCAGTATAACACTACGGTAATGAGAGCGAGCTATTTGGGGTACCTGGTAGGGTGCGAGTACCGGTAATACTTGTACATCGGCACAAAATAGTAGAAGGAGAAAGATAGTAATGGGACAGAACCGCGCGGCAGGGGATTGTGAACTACCTATCATTGCGTGCTTTCAGAAGACAAACGAAGTTTTGCCTTGACCAAGTCGTGAATAATCAGAAACTACGTACCTAGTACTATACCTGTTACGTTCGTATTCAAACGGTTTTCAATATTCTTACAGTGCCGTTCTAAAGCAAAATGTTCCAACCCGCCCGTCTTTTGGATTATCTTCATCCGACATAAGCAGAACAATTTCGGCGCCTCCTTCTGCAGCAGAATATCTCATAACTGCATCAACAACAAAGTGACCAACATTTTCCTGAGCAATTAACTCAAGACCAGTTTCTGCAAGTTCATAAGCGACCACTAATCCTTTTTTTCGGACGATGATCACAATTGTAGTTCCAAGGGAACAGCATAGTACCTCTGGCCAATTGCCCATAGCCAAGGTCGGAGGCTCGTAATCGAAGCCTTTGTAAGGGCCTAGCTCAATCAACGCATCTGTCATGACTTCTGTCAATCCAATGGAAACTTCGGAAGTTTCGGTTACCGCTGAAATACAAACTACTAGGTCTTCTTCAGCTTCAACAACAAATAGCAGAAGCGGCATCCAGGCCTCGTAGCCAATATCTGGTGGCGAGCAGAGACATGCACCCAACACATTGCTAAAAGGAATACACAGTGAGGTCGCGTTGACAGCGCGCGCACTCTTCAGGATAAGTACTTACTCATGCGCGCAGAGTGCTAGTGAGTCTCCGCAGATAGGTACCAACCAGGCTTCTACAGAACCACCCACAGCCGTGTTTGTCACCAACAGCATTCCCACTTTCGAGAGCATGTCTGGACCATCAAGCCCGTTTGTTCCACCTTCTTCGTAGCAGACAATCTTCTTTCCCTGCAGTGTAGAAATGCCGGGTGAGAAATACACAACATAACGCCACGCAGTGTGAAACGAAATACATACCTGCAGCTCGGGTCCTCGCTTCCAAACTTGTCGCGGACGTGGTGATTCGTCCAGTGGCATCCAGTGGAATCCACCAACTGGAGTTACTAGCATGAAACAAAGAGTGTCCTCTCCAGCCTCTGGGGGTAGGAATCGCCAGAAGTTCAATTTTGTAGTCATTTGCAACTCGACGACGACCGTTCTTGTCGACAATTCAAAGACCACCATGCGCTTGTCCTTTGCAAGGAAGCAACAGAGGAATTCACTGCCATCCTCGTCCATCTGATCACTAACTATTGCTCCACTTGCACCGATAGGATATGTAAGGCCAGGTGGAATTTGGTCGTCCCTCCATACAATGGTTTTTTCGGACCCACAGATCGATATGGCGCCAACACCAAACCTATAACAAGAATAGGAATGATTAACAAGAAACAGTACACGAATAGATCATAGAAAGTTGCGTACCGTTCAAGCTCTCGATAGTCTGGTAAACCTCCACGGTTGCCACCAAAGTGCCTCGTTGCTGGCGGACCTCGAATCAAGGCTGCTGTTGCAGATGATCTTACTTGCTCAGATAGTGGAATGGCACTATCCCACAAAGGAGATATTTCTGGACTCTCTTCGAAAGTCTCCATTCCTGGCTCTTCTACCTGGTCTACAAATGATATTGGTCCTGTTGTTTCAAAATTACTACCTTCGCCAAATGCAGCATTGAAGGGCACAGGCATGCTGTCTTTTGACCCAAAGCCACCAAAAGCATCAGCACTGAATGCAGCATTGGCAGCAGTATCCTGGAATGTTGGTGGCACTGACTCTGTGGCTCCAAAATCTGAGTGTCCGAAACCAAATCCTTCGTTTCCAAAACCAGCATTTTCGATCTTGGACTCTTCTCGTTCGTCTGCTTTAGGAGGTGCAAGCAATCCCTTTCGAGGTCTTGCCTTTTCGGAACTTCGCGGAGGTGCCAACATACCAGTTGGTGTAGATGCTGATCCTTTGGGCGGAGCCAAAAGTCCTTTCTGCGGTGTTGTACTCTGTTGTTCTCTTCCTTTTGGACGGGCCAAGAGCCCAACCTTTGCCGAGGCACCCCCTTTCTTCTTGATTCTTACCGCAAACTTTTTCTTGATTTCAGCACAATACAGGTATTCTGTCATCATGGTTCTGATGTCATCTGCAGCTCGTTCTAGTGCCCATGCTCGTAATTCAGCAATGCGGAATCCCGCGGGATGGTCAAGTGCGAAGGCAACATAGGATTTCTCAAGGAGCGGATCAAGTGCTGCAGCTCCAGAGAAATCATCAATCTCGAATTTGGGTGGGGCAAAATTCAGTGTATCAGAGATAGCGCTCGCACCCTTTACAAAGACATTGACCTTCGAGCTAGTCATTGATTCTTGCTTGAAAGTGAGGCAAACGTGGTTCCAATATCCGAATCGAATAGTGCTCTTGATTTCTTCCTCCTCGTCATCATCGTCGCTGGCAGTGTGCGGTGTAGTTTTGAGACTGGAACCAGAAACTGTTCGGAATTCCAATTCTCCGTTTGTTGACAAAATAAGCTCCCACAAAACGCTTGCCTTGTCACTTGCTTTACAAACACTCTCCAGATTGTCAGCGGAAACGCCATATGTCCTACGCATTAGGACAATGGAATCCTTGACTGACGCTGGTACCCAAAACCAGAATTCCATTGAGCACTTTTGGCGAGCTAAATGGTCAGGGCTGTGCATCATGCCAATATCCAAACTTCCACCACGCGGCGCCGGCAATCCCAGCGCAGCAGCAATACCAACTCCGGATTCTTCAAACACTAAGTCGTAAAGAGCTTTGACTTTACCGCTCTCGCCCTCATCAACGCTAGAAGTGGAAACCTCAAGTGCGGTCGTGTCTCCACAACCAACAAGGATTGCTCTATTCTCAAACTTTGTGATATCAGCAAATCCCTCTGTGCGCCATCCACTCTCCTCGTCGTCTCCCTCAGACAATCGAAAGTATGCAGAGAGCTTGTCTTCGTCCTTCAAACCTTCTCCGACACCATCAACCCATCCATCTTTCGTCTCATCCTCATCTTGATCGCCGAATGAATCGTCATCTTCTTTTCGTAAAATATCAGCTAAGGTTGTTGCACCTCGCACTTCGGCACTCTTGACACCTTCCTTGCCGAGTATGGCCGGTTTACGGCGGCCGAACCAATCATGCATGTTGTCCAGAACAAGCAAGTTCTCTTTTTCCTTGTTAGGCCCTTCGTTCCAAACAAGCTTCATTTCACTAGTTTCCGTAGCAAACAGCTCATCTCCGGCCCTTACTCGCTGTTTACTCATTTTTGAGAATGCGGATTCTCCGATGATCCGAGGCCGCAATCGACCAAATTTCTTTCCCCGTTGAAAGGACGGGGCAAGTGGGCGTATCCATTTGTACCTAAAATCATCGTTAGGTATTCCCATGTTTTTCCGAAGTTCAAGGGACAAAGCTGCAAGTGACGCCGCATTCGTTGATCGAATTGATTTGCCAATTTGGGACAGATCATGAGATTGGGACAGCGCCTCCAAGACTGGAGTAGCATCTATTGCATGATCCATTTGCAGTGCCAGTGAGAGCTGCAGTACCATCGCATCAGAGTTCTCAGTACCAGCGATATCCAAAAGCTTCATGGCATCTACGAAATTCCCTTGTTTCAAAGCATTCATTCCATATCCGTTCGAAAGGAAAGCAGATGGATCGGTTGGACGTGGCAATGTTGATGCCATGTTCGAGTCTGGACTTTTGATGTATTCTGAAAAGTACTGGTCCCCATTCGCAATTATGTGCATGAGAGTGTCGGCATCTCCCATTGCAGCTTTTGCTTTCGCTGATACAGGCATCCATGAGGGCAGAAGACGACTATTGGTAGATCGACCAAAATTTACTGTTCCTGTTAGCAGCCATGATGCCGCTGCTTCCAATCCGTATTGCTCTAGTAGGTCAAAGACTTTCGGAGTTAGTCCAGCACCCAAATTTCCAATGCCTTCGTTGTCTCCATGAGTCATCGTAGAAACCTTGCGTCCGAATTTCTCAATTACCGTTCTAAAGAAAGGCTGGGTAGCTGTTTCTGCTCCACCGCCAGTTGCAATGGCATTTGCAACCATTGGTTCTAGAAGCAACGCTGGTCTTGTTGTTGCTGACGGCAACATGAAGATTCCTGTCGACTGTCCACGCTCGACGAGGCGAGATCCATTGTGGTAGCATGTATAGATGATTCGATCCGGTCGCACGGCTAGGATCAAGTGAGGACTGTAGGTGTGCCGTGGTAGAGGTAAAGACGCAATCAATCCTGTACAACCAAATGCTGATGGAACACCACTCAAGTATTTAATTGCATGGTCATCCTGTGAACAGTATCCAACTGTGAAGGAGCCCAAAGGGACTAGAGATGTGGGAGGCAAGGAGACATCGACTTGGGCAATAATTTCCAAGGATGCCGACAACACCATTATCCGTTTGGTAGACCCTATCGCAATACCACCTCGGATTGCTTTTTCACCCGGTAAAGGTACGACTAGACACAACTCTTCGTCTTCTTCCAACCAAATGCAAGGATCTCCTTCCAGATTTGGCAACAAGTCTGACCAG